GAGGTCGTGCTGGATGCCTCTCCCTCCTTTCCCCACCCCACCCCACCCACCTCGTTTCCCCCACCCTGTTCCTCTCTTCCCCCCCGATTCCCCCATTCATGCTCCCAGGTGCGTCCCCAACCCAACTGTGTGTTGTTCCCAGCGGAGCTGGGCGAGATGAGGGGGCAGTTCTTCCACTTCAGTGAGGTCGTGCTGGGATAAGACACTCCCTCCTTCCACCACCCCACCCACCCTGTATCTCTCTTGCCTCTCCATACCCCCATCCCGCCATTTCCCCATTCCCACCCTGTTTTCTCCCAGGTGCGTCCTCAGCCCAACTGTGTGCTGTTCCCAGCCGAGCTGGGCAAGATGAGGGGGCAGTTCTTCCACTTCAGCGAGGTCGTGCTGAACGTGACTCCCCATCTTCCCCACCTCACCAACTCTGTTCCTCTTTTGCCGCTTCATTTCCCCCTGTGTCTTCTCTCTTCTCCCAGGTGCGTCCCCAGCCCAAACTGTGTGCTGTTCCCAGCCGAATTGGGCGAGATGAGAGGGCAGTTCTTCCACTTCAGCGAGGTCGTGCTGGATGACGGCTCATTCCTTTCCCCATTCCCCCCTTTTTCTCCCTTGCCCCACCCTCTCTTTGTCTCCTCTCTTCTCCCAGGTTCGCCCCCAGCCCAACTGTGTGCTGTTCCCAGCTGAGCTGGGCGAGATGAGAGGGCAGTTCTTCCACTTCAGTGAGGTGGTGCTGGATGACGGCTCGTTCCACGGCGACCAGCTGGAATTCGGGTAAGCAGGGGTGCTCAGGGGGTGTTGAGTGGTACGAGGGTGAGCTGGTTCGGTGCAGCATGGCAGGAGGTTGTGCTGGATGACGGCTCGTTCCACGGCGACCAGCTGGAATTCGGGTGAGAAAGGGTTTGGTTTGGTGCTCTATGGTATGCATGAGTTGAGATAGTTTGGGTGCAGCATGGAGGAGGGGTGTGCTGGATGACGTCTCATTCCACAGCCACCAGCTGGAGTTCGGGTGAGACCGTGAGAGGAGTATTTGAGGTGGTGTCACAGGCATGGTATGTGGGATGCATGCACATGATGCTGCAGCATGACCAGAGGGTGTGCTGGATGACGTCTCATTCCACAGCCACCAGCTGGAGTTCGGGTGAGACCGTGAGAGGAGTATTTGAGGTGGTGTCACAGCATGGTATGTGGGATGCATGCACATGATGCTGCAGCATGACCAGAGGGTGTGCTGGATGACCGTCCTCATTCCACAGCCACCAGCTTGAGTTCGGGTGAGAGGAGTATTTGAGGTGGTGTCACAGGCATGGCATGGCACGACTTGAGGACTCCACCCCTTTTCGTGACCCCCTTCCCCATGCCCTCCTTGCACATTTGCCAGTACCTGACCCGAGCAGCATACCCCCCTGGCTGGTTTTTGAGAATTCTAAAAAAACCACCCCTTTTCGCGACCCCCCTTCCCCATGCCCTCCTTGCACATTTGCCAGTACCTGATCGAGCAGCATACCCCCCTGACTCCTTCGAAGCACACCCTCGCCCCCCCCATCGCTGCTCTCTCCCTCCCCCTCTCCCCTCCCCAGCTACCTGATTGAGCAGCAGACTCCCGGCTCTACTGCTCGTCCAGAGGGCTACATGGCAGGGGCAGTGCTAGCATCCTACGTGCATCTGCACTTCGCCTCCAACCCCTTTCTTCCCTCCCTCCCTCCCCACCCCTCCCCCCTGCCTGCCCTCCCCCTTCCAGGTACCCTGATTGAGCAGCAGACCCCCGGCTCTACCGCTCGTCCAGAGGGCTACATGGCAGGGGCAGTGCTAGCATCCTACGTGCATCTGCACTTCGCCTCCAACCCCTTTCTTCCCTCCCCTCCCTCCCCACCCTCCCCCTTGCCTGCCCTCCCCCTCCCCAGGTACCTTATCGAGCAGCAAACTCCAGGCGCCACCTCCCGTCCAGAGGGCTACATGGTGGGGGCAGTACTGGCGTCCTACGTGCATCTGCACTTCGCCTCCAACCCCCTCCCTCGCCCACCGCCTTCATAGACGCATGCCGAACCGACCCTACCAAATCCGCAGCCGTCGCTGCTGCTCTGCCTCAGCAGTGGCCGGAGCAGGGGCGGCAGCGGCGGCAGCAGCAGGGGCGGCAGCTGCCTGCAGCGGTGGCAGATGCATGAATGAGGACGATAGGTTGTCGCAGCGATCGGTCTCGTATAATATGTACTCGTCCCCGGTTCACCCGAGCCAGCTGGGGTTGCAGCAGCAGCAGCAGCAGCACCATGGGGTTTCCGGAGGTTGTGCACCCTCTTCTGTGTCTTCTGTGCAGTCTGGGAGCTCGTTTCGTAGGAGGAGTGAGAGCGGAGGGAGGTGGGATGCGAGGGGGTTTGATGCTGGTGGGGGGGTATCGCCTCCTCATTATCTCGAGACGTATGGGAGGGGAGGAGGTGGAGGAGTGGGGGGCGGAAGGGGAGGGATTGGTGGGTCTGGTGGGATGTATTACGGTGGGGGGGTTTCGCCACCTCATTATATGGAATCATATGGGCGAGGAAGAGGGGGAGGGGGAGAGGCAGGGGCAGGATATGGGGGTATTGGAGGACGAGTGTATGATCCCAGGGGGCAGTGGCATGAGGATATTATCCCCAGAGCTCATCCGGGTACTGTTCCTGGTTCTTCAGGTGCTTATTCAGGTGGTTTCTCAGGCAGACCGTCAGGCATTTCGCCTGAGCACGACGACCCCACCGAGGCTGACCTCCAGGCTCGGCGGATGGGCGCTCGCGAGGCAGAGGACCGATCCTCACGTTCAGAATCGTACGTGATTGGAGAGCGCGTGGGCGGTAGCGTTGTCCCATATGTCATGTTTCCGGGCGGCAGCGCCATTGGCAGCGCTGTGGCAATATCATACGGCGGACAATCAAATCACACAGGATATGGATACGGGGCGGGCACAGGCGGCGGAAGTGGGGGGAGAACGGGCAACGGAGGAGGAGGGGGGCGGGGCGGCGTTGACTGGGCTCGATACGAGCTCTCCCCACCCCTCCCTTACCAATCAACAGGATACAGCAGGGAAGGGAATGGCAGTCAAGGGGTGGGAGGGCCGGGGTTCATCCCCTCTCCCATGCGAAGGTCTATATCTGAGCTATGGATGCCTGGGGGTGGGGGTGGTGGGCTTGAGGAGTTGAGCCTGGGCGGAGGGCAAGGGGCGCCTGGGCGAGGGGGAAGAGTGGGGGGAGGAGGCGGAGTGAGAGGAGGAGGAGCGAGAGGAGGAGGGGGAGAGGGGGGGAGGGGGTGGGTATGGGGGCCACGGAAGGAGAGACGGTGGGACTAGCGGAAAAGTTCAGGGAGGAGGGACGGGGGCAGGAGGAGCAGGAGGGGAGGGAGGAGGGGAGGGAGGAGGGGAGGGAGGAGGGGAAGGAGTGGGAGGAAGGAGAGGTGGAGGAGGAGGGTCTAGTAACAGAGGTGGTGGGGGTGGTTCAGTGGCGGGGAGATCAGAAAGTGGAGGAGGAAGTGGAGGAGGAAGTGGTGGTGGTGGTAGCTCGACCTCGGATCCCTCGGCATACCTCTCCACCGCTGCCAATCCCTCTTCAGCAGTTGCTTCTGGAACAGATGGCAGGAGCTATGCGGATTCCGGTTCGGCTTCGGATTATGATGAGATGAATGCGAGCGACTTGCGGAGCTCTTCGGAGTTTGATGAGGGGCTGACGTCTAGTGGGCGGCTGTCGGACTTTGTGGGGAGCAACAGTGGGAGGAGCATGGAGCAGATTTTTGAGACGGGGGGAGGGGTTGGAGGAGGGGTGAAGGGGCCTTCAAGTGGGAAATTGGCGGATTTTGTGAGTGCAGGTGTAGGGGTTTTGGGAGAAGGAGGAGGAGGAGGGGGAGGAGGGGGAGGAGGGGGAGGAGGAGGAGGAGGAGGAGGAGGAGGAGGAGGAGGAGGAGGAGGAGGAGGAGGAGGAGGAGGAGGAGGAGGAGGAGGAGGAGGAGGAGGAGGAGGAGGAGGAGAAGGAGGAGGGGGAGGAGGTGGAGGAGGAGGCAGGGGAGGAGGGTCAGCTGGTGGATCTCTTAAGAATTTATCAGCTGGATCGATGAGGAAGCTCGCTGCTGCTGCTGCTGGGGCTGCTGCTCAGGCAGAGGGGACTGGGCATGCCAAAAGTGGAAATGTTGGCATAAGTGGAAGTGTTGCAAAAAATGGAAATGGTGCCAGAAGTGGGAGCGGAAGCTGGAGCGGTTCAGGGCGTGTGGCGTGGGTGGGAGAGAAGAGTGGGGAGGGAGAGAAGGGAGAGGAGAGAGGGAAGATGGAGAATGGGGGGTGGCGGGACGCGGCGGGGCGTGGTTCGAGGTATTTTGAAGCAAGAGACACAGTTGAGGGGTTTCAAGAGGTAGGGGCGGAGGAGAGAAGGGAGGTGAGTTGGGAGGAAGAAGAGGAGGAAGAGGAGGAGGAGGATGAGGTGGGGACCGAGCAGGAGGAGGAGAGAGAAGCGCCTAGGACAATGCGTCTGGACCCTCGTTTGGTTGAGGAAGTGAGGGAGAGAGAGATGGAGAGGCAGAGGGAGAGACAGAGGCAGGAGGAAACGGTGGGGATCGAGCAGAAGGGGCAGAATGGGCAGCAGGTGCAGCAGTTAGGGGAGGATGGGCAGACAGGGAGGTATACCCATGAGGATCAAATGCAGCAGCGGCAGCAGCAAAAGCATCTGCAGAAGCATCAGCAGCAAGAGCAGCAGCATGCTCGGAAGCACTCGGATGTAAACGAAGCTTCTAGTGCGGCAGATGGGAAGGGCACTAGGAGTGGCAGCAGCGGCAGAAGCAGTGGCAATAGTGACGGGTTCCGTTCCCTGCCCACCCAGCTGTACCGCACTCTGCTCCGCGACACCCATTTGCACCACTCTCATATCCACGACGCCCAGGTTCAGAGGAGCTTCACTGGAACTTTAGCATCTGGTGCTGCTGCTGGTGGTGGTGGCGGTGGTGGTGCTGCTGCTGCTAATGCTGGTGGTGCTGCTGCTAGTGCTGGTGGTGCTGGTGGTGCTGGTGCTGCTGGTGCTGCTAGTGGCAGCATAACAGTGAGCAGGAGCGCGAGTGGGAGGCTCTATACTGAGAATGAGGTGTCTCTCAAAACGTCGCAGAAGCTTTATATCGAGGATGAGGTTTCCAGTCAATCACGAGCGGTGAGGGTAGCAGGAGGGGCAGTGGGAGCAGCGGCAGGAGGGGCAGAAGGAGCAAGGGAAGGAGCCAGAGCAGGGGCGGCGGCAGAGGCAGTGGTAGTGGCAGGAGCAGGAGGAGCAGGAGCAGCAGGGGGAATGGGAAAAGGGGGGATGGGGGAAGAGGTATTGGGGAGAGGGGGAATGAGGTCCGCGGATGGGACTCCAACGAAGACTGCTAGTGCGCCGCTCCTTACAGGCCTGCATGTTACAAGCACTCCCGATGCTGCCATTGCCCCTGCTGCTGGTGCTGGTGCTTCTGCTGCTGCTGGTAGTGGTGGTAGCAGGGGGGTGGGAGGGGCGGTTTTGTCAGCACATGGGAGCTATGGGCACATGTCTGGGCTTGCCACTCAGGCTGCAAACGCTGCCCATGCCACTCACACCACCCATGCCACTCACGCAACTCACACCCCCCACATCACACATGCTGGGCATTCTTCCATGAACGCTCATACCCCACCCCATCCTCACTCCTCCATGCATCCCCCTCCTCCTCAGCATCCTCACTCCTCTCACTATCCTCCCCAACACCCCCCTTCCCATCATTCTCAGCATCAGCAGCAGCTGCATCATCATCATGACCATCAAAATCAGCAGCAGCAGCAACAGCAGCAGTACCAGCAGCAACATTATCCTCTTTACTCTCAACCCCTCCCTCCTCTCAGCACTCCTTTTTCTGGCCCTCCCCTCTCAGCAGCTGCTACAGGGGCTCAACCCACCCTTCTTCCTACTCCTTCAAATCTACCCCAGTTCAACACTCCTCCCGAACCTGCTTCCAAGGCTGCAGCCGAAGCTGCTGCCGAAGCTGCAGGTCGGGGTGCTCAAGCTTTTCAGGCTGCCCGTTTGGGACCAGAAGCAGAGCCTGAGAGTGACGCTTTCTTTGATTCCTGCCCGAACTTTGAATCCCCAAAACTGAAATTCCACACTCCCCCATCTGACGTGAATGCGTCTCTCCTCAATTCAGACTCCCTCACTCTCTCAGACCCTCACACTCTTCCCACTCCCCCCACACACTCTCATTCCCACACCCCCCCCTGCCCCCAACACTCACTCTGGCCTGCATTCCTTCTCAGAATCTCACAGTTTCTCTCATTTCCACACTCACTCTGACCCTCACACCTCCTACCCTCACGCTCACCTTCACGTTTTCTCAGATCCCCACACTCACTTCTCCCCTTCTAAAGACTTCTCGTTTGGTACGAGAAGGAGGTTGGATCTGGGTCAAGCGAACGAGGGGGGGAGATGGGGAGAAGGGTTTGGGGTAGGGGAAAGCAGGGGAAGGTTAGGGGATGAGGGTCCGCAGGGGGGGATGCAGCAGGGAGAGCAGCAGTGGCAGAGGCTGGGAGAAGGACAGGTGCAGGGGCAGGGGCAGGGGCAGGGGCAGGGGCAGGGGCAGGGGCAGAAGGAGCAGGATCAGGGGCAGTGGCAGCAGCAGCCGCAGCAGCAACTGCAGCAACAGCAACAGCAACTGCAGCAACAGCAACAGCAACTGCAGCAACAGCAGGAGCAGAAACAACTAGAGCAGAAGCAGGAGCAGGGGCAAGGGGACAAAGTAGGGAGCTTGATAACTGCAGGACAAGCCAGTCTGGCTGTGGCAGATACGGTGGAGGGCTGGATGCGGTGTAAGGGGGTGGAGACAGGTGCTGGTGTGACAGTAGGGAGTTACAGGGTGGCTGCAGCAGGGTTGAGAATGGCAGGTGGAATGGGGGGTGTATTTTCAGGTGGAATGTCAGGTGGAATGGCAACAGAGGGACGCCAGGTGGGAGGGAGAAGCAGGAAGCCTCGTGTGGTGTCACTGTCACCTTCAGCAACAGATATCATCGTGGCACTCAGTAAGTGGTTCGGTGCTGCGCGGTGTGGTGTGGTGTGGTGTCGTGCCCCACGATCTCGGCTTTGGCAGACTGCTCTGCCCCTCAACCGCCACAACCCTCCCTCATTTGCTCCCTTCACCCACACCCGGATCTTACCCTGCTTTTGAGTTGAGTCGACTGAAGTATTTTCAACTTGAAAATCACACCCCATTCTGTTGCGGCTTTTCAGGGGCGACGGACCAGCTGATTGGCTTGTCAGATTTCGAGACGTCTCAAATCTAATATAATCCCTTCATTCACACCCATTCTTTTCTTGCTTTTCAGGAGCAACGGACCAGCTGATTGGCTTGTCGGATCAGTGCCGCCCATCCAGCTCCCTCCCACACCCATGCCACGTGGTATACTGATGTCAACCCTCTTCCAATCATGTTGTCTTGACATGCTGCCATGCCATGAGTCACTATCCCATACGGCCATGCCATGTGTCATCATCCCATACGGCCATGCCATGTGTCATCATCCCATACGGCCATGCCATGTGTCATCATACCATACGGCCATGCCATGTGTCATCATCCCATACGGCCATGCCATGTGTCATCATCCCATACGGCCATGCCATGTGTCATCATACCATACGGCCATGCCATGTGTCATCATCCCATACAGCCATGCCATGTGACATCATCCCATACGGCCATGCCATGTGTCATCATACCATACGGCCATGCCATGTGTCATCATCCCATACGGCCATGCCATGTGCCATCATACCATACGGCCATGCCATGTGTCATCATCCCATACGGCCATGCCATGTGTCATCATCCCATACGGCCATGCCATGTGTCATCATCCCATACGGCCATGCCATGTGTCATCATCCCATACGGCCATGTCATACCATAATGCCATGCCATGTGTGTTCCACCTCCTCCGGTCGCTTCCCAACTGCTTGTTGCAACCAGGTGCTTCGCTGCCCTGCTGCCAGCAAGCCGTCTTCAAAGGTGAGTTTTGCTTCCGTTACATGCTTTTTTAGTTGACTCAAAAACCTGCCGTTTCCCTCATCCCAATCGTGTAGTTCCTACCAGGTGCTTCGCTGCCCTGCAGTCAGCTAGCTGTGTTTTCAAAGTGAGTTTTCCACCCTTTGCATGCTCCTTGTGTGTGTGACCGTTTCAACTTGTGGGATCTCCTGTCTCTACTAGGCAATAGGGTGTTACCTCCCAGTGTAATGAGTTGTGTTTTCAGTTGACTCGAAACATGACCGTTTCAACTTGTGGGATCTTCTGTTTCTACTAGGCATTAAGGTGTTATCTCCCAGTGTAATGAGTCCTGTTTTGAGTCGACTCAAAACATGACCGTTTGAACTTGTGGGATCCTCTGTGTCTACAAGGCAATAAGGTGTTATCTCCCACCCTCCCTCCCACCCTCCCTCCCACCCTCCCTTCCTCCCTCCCTCCCTTCCGCCCTCCCTCCTCCCTCCCTCTCTCCCTCCTTTTCCCGTTCTTAGGTTCAAGCCTCCCCTTGTGTGCTGGATTCGGAGTGGTTGAGAGCGGTGCAGCCAGATGTGGTGCTCTTGGGGGGCTCCACTGCCTGCCTGCGCTGCGACCTGCACTGGCAAGATGGAAACACACAGCCCACCGCTGTTGCTGCTGCAGCTAATTCTGCTGATTCTGCTACTGCTGCTGGGGTTTCTGATGCTGCTGGTGCTGCTGCTGCTAGTGCTGCTGCTGCTGCTGGTGCTGCTGGTTCTGGAGGGTCAGCACAAGGCCCAACAGCAGGAGGACTAAAGGGATCAGGAGTGGCAGAAAAGGGAAGCCATTGTGACAGCCGTACCTTAGCTGCAGAGGTTCGGAGGAGCCTCGGTGAATCAAGCTCGGGAGAAGGAGGCGGTGCATCAATCGTTTCTCTCCGACCCGCCACAGTGAGTTCCCAACTCGTAGGCCAACTTGATAATTTAATGTGAGACTTTTGGGACAACTCTTGAAAATCCAGGCTTGGGAGAAGGCGGCGCATCAATCGTTTCTCTATGTGCTGCCACAGTGAGTTCCCAACTCGTAGGGCAAGTGGTCAATATAATGTGAGGCTTTTGGAACAATGCCTGAGAACTCAGGCTCGGGAGAAGGCGGCGCATCAATCGTTTCTCTCCGTCCTGCCGCAGTGAGTTCCCAATCGTAGGGCAACTTGGTTGGTTGGTGACACAGTTGAGTTTTTCCAAGTCAGATTGGCAACTTCATTCCAATATCACTCGGAGAAGATACCTTTGATTGCTTTTCTCCGTAGCAGCCCTTCGTCCCGCCACAGTGAGTTCCTAACTCAATAGGGCAATGTGGTTGGGGACACTAATGAGAATTCCCAAGTCAGCTTGGCAACTTGATTTTAATATCACTCGGACAGACCTTAGATCGCTTCTCTCTGTAGTGGCTCTTCGTCCTGCCACAGTGAGTTCCCAACTCGTAGGGCAACTTGGAGAGACTTTTGAGTCGACTCAAATGGTCACAGGGAGGAGGTGACACATCAGTCGTTTCTCTCCGTCCTGCCACAGCCCTGTGGTGACTGTGGGTGCCCCGTATATGCCTCTCCCCCGGGCCTCATCTCCCCATCCCACCAGCTCTCCCAGGTGATTGAGTCGGTGGTGGTGACTTGTTGGGGCATCTCTGGGTCTGCACCAGCCAGCCCAGGCCATCCCCTGTATAAACCTCTCTTTCTTCTCTTACATGCCTCTCACTCTCTCCACACCCCACCAGCTCTCCCAGGTGCTTTAGTCAGTGGTCACTGTGAGGGCAGCGCTGGGTCTGCACCAGCCAGCCAACGCCTCCCCCTTTATAACCCTTTCTCCCGGTTCCCCCACCTGCCACTCCTCTCCTCCCACCCCACCAGCTCCCCCAGGTGCTTGAATCAGTGGTCACTGTGAGGGCAGCTCTGGGTCTGCGCCAAGCAATGCCATCCCCTTTATAAGCCTCCCGCCTGTTTCCTTATTTGTCTCCCCTATCACCTGCCAGCTCGCCCAGGTGCTAGAGTCCGTGGTCACTGTGGGGGCAGCCCTAGGTCTGCAGCAGCCACAGGCCCTCACATCCCACCTCCACCTGCGCCTCCGCTCCCTCGCTGCTGCCCTCGCCACCGCCCCCCGCCCCCCCCTGAATCACCTCCCTAGAGATGATGCAATGACTGAGAGTTCATCTCCCTCCAGTTATGGTTGGCGGGGCATTGACTGGCTCTGTTCCCCATTCTCCTGTCCGCCCCTCCTCCCCACCCCACCAGCTCTCCCAGGTGCTAGAGTCAGTGGTCACTGTGGGGGCAGCTCTAGGTCTTGTTTTGAGTCGACTCAAAGCACCAGCCAACCCAGGCCTACTGTTTATAACCCTCTCTTTCTTCTCTTACATGCCTCTCACCCTCTCCCCACCCCACCAGCTCCCCCAGGTACTAGAGTCGGTGGTCACTGTGGGAACAGCCCTGGGTGGGTCTGCACCAGCCAGCCCAGGCCCTCTCCCTTTATAACCCTCTCTTACTTCCCTTATCCGCCTCTCACCCTCTCTCCACCCCACCAGCTCGCTCAGGTGCTAGAGTCCGTGGTCACTGTGGGGACAGCCCTAGGTCTGTATCAGCCAGCCCAGGCCCTCTCCTCTCACCTCCACCTGCGCCTCCGCTCCCTCGCTGCTGCCCTCGCCACCGCCCCCCGCCCCCGGGTCACCTCCCTAGAATCCATCTCTCCTCTCGTTATGGCTGGGCATTGGCTTCCCGAGATGAAAGTTTTGGCCGGGGCGGATGATGGCGGGCTGCAGGAGCCGGGCAGCCCGGTGCAGAAGGTTTTGTGGGAGAGCATTACAGCGTTTGGGCCGCAGGTGCTGTTTCTGACGCCGTGTGCTGCTGATGTGACGACTGCTCTTGCTCAGGTGAGGGTGGGAAGGGTTGAGAGGTAAGGCGTGGGGTAGGGGTGGAGTAAAAGTTTAAGGGAGGGGGGGGGGGAGGGGAGAGGGAGAGTTACAGCGTTTGGGCCAGGTGCTGTTTCTGACGCCGTGTGCTGCTGATGTGAATACCGCTCTTGCTCAGGTGAGGATGGAAGGAAGAAGTGTAGCGGTGTAAGGAGTGGGATAGGGGTGGAGTGAAGGGTAAGTATGGGGGGGGCGGAGAGTTGGGAGAGTTACGGCGCTTGGGCCTCAGGTGCTGTTTCTGACGCCGTGTGCTGCTGTTGTGAAGACTCACTCGCTCGAGGTTGGAAGTGGTGAGGGGTGATGAGTGGGGATGGGGGGTGTGGGGGGTGAGGGGTGAAGGGTTAGGGGCGAGGGTTGAAGGGTATAGGGTTTTGGTAGTTGATTCAAAAGAGCACATGTCTGTGTTGTTGTGACAGAAAGGTCCCATCTCGCTTTTGTAAGATTCTTCATTTGCAAGCCTGTCCCTGCCTTCCCCCTCATGTCGTGTTCTTTTTCACAGGTTGAGGCGCTTGCTCGCCTGCCCGGTTTTTGGTCGCTGCCCGCAACTGAATCTGGGCAGGTTTACATTATCGAGTCATGTCTCTTCCTCAACGCAGGCCCGCGATTGGTCGATGGTGTTGAGTTGCTAGCCAGAATTATTCATCCTGACCGAGTAGCTGTGCCCTTGCCGCCCGGATGCTTCGTCTTGAAGCTGGAACTTAGTAGGGAGAAACACTACCGAGCAGGGGACGTTCATAAACATTTTAGGCTGCTTCTGTAGACTTAGACAGGCTTGTTTTGCAATGGTCATATAGGTGGTGTAGCTATAGTGAGCGTAGCCAAGTAGATGTGTAGGTTTAAGTAGCAACCATATGTCATGTAGAACATAAAGTTCAAAGCAACAAAGGCTTAGCACATTTTTTGTATCTTATTATTTGATAGGTAAAAGATTTAGCGGCCATCTCTTTTACTTGCTGCTTGATAGGCAAACAGAGACAGTTGGGTAATTACCTCCTGGGTAACCAGCATCGAGCCCGCTCACGTCCGCAGTTTGCCACGTGGCTGGATGGTACCCATCAGATCATCCGAACCCCTTCGTGGTACCCATTATCCCTGCGTGGTAAGGTAACCTTTGTCCCTACGTGGTCACAGTCAACACTCATCGAATTCCCTGATTGGTACCGTATTACCCCGGATAGAAGCGCATGTGCGCTTATAATAAAACAATGTTTTTTAGAGGGGTGCGCTTCTAATCGAGTCATGTGTATAAGCGCATGCGCTTGTAATAGGAAAAAAAATCACTTTTAAACATACCAAATTGAAGCCCGCAATAAGGCGAATTCAACCGACCATGCAACACGTGGGATCGTGCATGGTTTCCAGACAAAAACAGCAGCGGTTCGGTTTCCCACCGCACAGTTTTGTCTAGAACCATCGATCGTGACAGCAGTGACGGGGATGTTGCCGTGCGGCCCAATCACAGTCGCATGCATTGCGTGGCATGTGCATTTCTTCCGAACCCTCTCGAAGGGTGGGGAATATTCCCTGCCAGCGCAGCTTTTATGCTGCCACGCAGGGTCCTCTACGGGGGTAGGCGTGGGTTTCCCGCCTGTCATTGACGAGGACCCCGAGGCGCCAACCTTACGGGGTCCCCTTCGTTGCCCATTTGTGCACCCTCGTTCTCATTTTTTTCATTCAGATTCCAGTGTAGGCCGCCTGGCTGGCAAAGCCATGGCGGAATTCAGCGGGACGCACTTCCTCTTCAAGAACAAGAGAGCTCGCCCATGGCGACTTACCGACGATGGGTGGTATACCCGTGAGCCCGCAGCGCCTCCAGTGCCACCTGAACCCCCAGCGCCCCCTGCTCCTCCTGCTCCTCCTGCACCTCCTGCTCCTCCTGCTCCTCTCGCACCTCCCGCTCCTCCAAATCCGCCTGATATCGGTGCCAGTGCTCACCAACGGCCCGTGCTCCAGCTGTATTTACCAGCCACTTTCGACGAGTGGCTGTCTGAACCGGACACACCCAAGGCCCCTGATGTGTTCATCCAGGCTCCGCCGCCTGCACCACGGTGGGGACAGCCCGAAGCTTGCACGTGGGACGAGTCGGCTGTGGGCGCCGACGATGACGTGGCCGCCGATAAACAAAACAGCGGCGACGACGACGGTGAAGCGGGCGCCGAGGAGGACGTGTTCCCAGATCGTGGTGCAAGTGCCGAGGACGACGACGGTGTGGAGTCATGGTGGCGCGACGCACCACGCGAGAAGATGCCGATACCGACGTATCCGCCGATTAACAAAAAACGACCCCACCCCTCCTCCCAGAACCGAGATGCCCGCCCCCCCTCTCCCAGGCACAAGCCGTCTCAACATAAACGGCAATCCTATACCTCCCAGGAGAAACTCAGGTGGCTCGTGCGGCTGGAGCTGGCGGCATCGATAAGCGAGGTCGCGCGGGAGTCCGGCATACACCGCAAATGCCTGACGGAGTGGAAAACCCAAGCAGAGGAGCTCAAGGCTTCACATGCCGCACGGTGTCGACTTCATGGGCGCGGGAGGTCTTCTTGGTACAGACCCATGGAGTTAAAGGTGTACGCTCAACTCCTCGACTGGCGACGCCGCGGTGTTGCAGTTTCAGTCGGCCGGCTCCAAGAATGGTCACGCGAAGTGATGAAGGTGCTGTTCCCGAAAGTCAAGTGGAAAGGGAGTCAGCGGTGGTCGGAGCGGTTCCGCAAGCGGTGGAACCTCAGCGTGCGCATGAAAACTAAGGTGGCGCAGAAAACGTAGGAGCGTAAGTGCCTTGTTTCTCGCTTACCTCGAGCGAATTCGCATGGTTTAAGAGTTGTTGCCCCTAAGTTGAAGTTGAAGTTAAAGTTGAAGCCGTGGGTGTTTTTCAAGCGCAAGACACAGCCTAAGGGTGACTTCCCGAACGGTAAGCACATCTTCTTGTGCGTGTTTTGGACGTTCAACAAAAAAAAGGGACTAACCACCGCTTGCTTGTGTGCAGGTGTCGTGGTCGGCTGCCAAGCGAACGGGTGGATGGAGGCCACGGGCGTCATCCAGTGGCTCGATGAGGGCGTGGTGCCGTTCCTGAAACCGAAATTCGGCGAGCAGAGTCGGAGCGCCATGCTAGTACTCGACTCCTACCGTGGTCACCTTACCAAGGAAGTCAAGGCGAGATTCGCGGCGCTCAACATCGTGCCGGCGGTCATCCTGGCGGGATGCACGGCAGACGTGCAGCCGCTCGATGTGTCGGTGAACAAGAGCTTCAAAGCGAGTGTTCGCCAGCAGTACCAGTCCTGGTTTGAGGCGGACGGCATGAACATTCTGTCAAACATATATGATATAGCCTGTGTAGGCTGTAGTGGGGTAGACATTATGGGGTACAGTTTTTCTAGGTTTTCATACTTGTACCCATCTCCTTTCTAGTCCACACCATTCCTCGTACATCTTTCACATGGTATAGAGCGGGTTCCCTAGTGGGACCGTTTTTTTAGGGCCCACCACTTATTTTTTTTTTTCTGCCCTGCCCGAAGCGCGCTCCTTGCCCTGTCGCGCGCCTCACGCCTGCCTTACCTGCGCCCCGTGCGCCTACCCTGCCATCGCGGCCCTGACTAGAGCCGTCGCGGCCCTGCCGTCGCGGCCCCTGCCGTCCCCCCCCCCCCCCCCCCCCCCCCTGCCGTCGCGGCCCCTACCGTCGCGGCCCCTGCGGTCGCGGCCCCTGCCGTCGCGGCCCCTGCTGTCGCGGCCCTGGCAGACGCGGCCCATGCCGTCGCGGCCCCTGCTGTCGCGGCCCCTGCCGTCGCTCGTTCAGGGACCACTTCCTCTCCCTTTGCCCCACCACGCTCACCGTTGACCTCCTCGAGGATCGCCTCCTTGCAGCAGAGAAGAGTATAGTCGCTGTAGGAGCCTCTCGTGGTGACCCTCGTGCCCCTTTCTTTGAGGGGTGCTCCCCCGTCCCTCTTTTGCCCTCTGTTGCCTCTGCTGCTGCTGTCGACATCGTTGGCAACGAGTCGGTCGGAGCTGCATCTGCTCCTAGTGGGAGGCGCCGCAGCGGCAGGAGCAAGGGGGGCAAGGGTGCTGGAGGGGATGGCGGGGGCGGCGGTGGTGGCGGTGGAGGCGGTGGAGGGGGTGGGGGTGGAGGTGGGGGTGGTAGCAGGAGTGGGGGCTTCGGTAGCGGTGGTGGAGGTGGAGGCGGCGGAGGCAGCGGCAGTGGGGGTGGAGGTGGTGGCGGTGGCGGCGGAGGCGGTGGGGGTGGCGGCGGCGGTGGTGCTGGTCGGGGTGGAGCTGTGCAGGGGGGAGGCTTTGGCGGTGGCCGGCGCCAGCAGCAGCAGCGCCCTCGTGAGAGCCTGTCGCCCGAGCAGCTTCGTGAGTGGTACGCTGGGCGTGGGAGGTCTGGGGGTGCTGGTCCCTGCGCTTACGTTCTCCGCACCGGCGACCGCAGTGGAGAGACGTGCGGCGGCCCGCACGCCACGCTCCGCTGTTTCGGCCGCCTGACTGACGCCTGGCGTACACAGTTTCCTGACGCCACTGAGATCCCTCACTGGGGTGATCTGCTTAAGTCGGGGGTTGCTATCTTTGATCTTGATTATGATGCTATCCTTGCTGCTATGTATGCTGTGTCTATTAGTGCTGAGGGTGACTGTTGCCTGTGTGTTCTGCCCGACCTGGGCATTGAGGCTGCTGCTCTAGGTGCTAGTGAGTCTGCTGCTCTAGGTGCTGGTGAGGCTGCTCTCTCAGGTACCGCGTCGTCTCAGGTCTTGCACACTTTCACCCTTGACTCGGGTGCTTCCCGCTCCTTCTTTCGTGACTGCACCACACTCTCGCCGCTCAGTCGGCCGGTGGCAGTCTCTCTGGCTGACCCCTCTGGGGGTCCGGTCCTTGCACACTCCTCCACGGTTCTGCTGTGTCCGGCGGTCCCGTCTAGCTCTTTGTCTGGCCTCCACCTCCCCTCGTTCTCCACGAACTTGGTGAGTGGAGCTGACCTTCAGGATGCGTGGGTTGACCAGTTCACTCCTGGAGGTCAGCGGGTGACCCACTGTTCGTGTACTCGGACGGGCCGGCACCTGGCCACGTTCACTCGTCAGCCTGGGTCGAGCCTATACACCCTGACTACCGTGCCTCCTCCGGTTGCTGAGTCTGGTCAGGTAGCCGCGTCTAGTCAGGTGTTTGCTG